TGTCCATGAACTGTCTGAAATTAGTGTGTAAATAAAGTGTGTAGGTGCCTTTTGTTTTCAAATGGTATTTAAAATGTTCATCAAATTCTCAAGAGGATCCAGCTCCCCCAAAGAATTACTGTTAACTGCATTAAGTGACATGCCCAAGGTCACATAGCTGCTTAAACTGGGATTTAGTTTCTAGTCTCCTGTCTTCTTATTCAGTGACCTTCCCAATATACTTTAAAAACTAATATTAAACAAATAAAAACCTCACCTGAAAATCATTTGTGTTATTTATTCCTTGGAATAATTCACTTTGACTGGAGTCCAACCATACAACTGAAGACGTCTAGCTCTATCATACGTATATCAAAATGCCTAGAATCTTCCCAGCCAGAAAGGCACTGTGTTTGAATTAGGTATGATGTGTGTAGGCACAGCTGTTATGACTTCAAAAGTGGCTGGAGGCCCAAGTGGTCTATTGGGGGAACAGTGGCCTTGAGTCCCACTAACATATATTAATATTTTATCTCTGCCACTTCCCAGCTATTCATTAAAAACGTCAAATAATTTATTAATAATGTTTCAGTTTCCTCATCTGTAAATTCAGATAATAAAAAGTAACTGTTGGGGTTGTTCTGAACACTATACAGAAAATTCATGATATGATGCCCAACATAAAATAGATACCCAGATAATCATATCTGTTATAACTGCTTGTCTTTGTTGAATTGAAATGCAGCATTTAAATTTTGCTTTATATTTAGACTTGGCTGAAAATTTTATAAAAACCCATGTCCATATGGCTTTTAACCTGAAATATTAATTATAATCCTACTAATGGAAATACAGTACTGGCAGCAGTGAAGATTAATTATATTTTAGAACAAAACTTCTTTTTTAATCCAGCACTTTAATTCACTAATGTTTGCAAGTTACAAGGCATTATAATAAATAACCTGTTACTAATTGATATTCCTGAATTTATAAGAAACTGAAGATACATAAAAAGATATTAGAGGTAAGTAGATTGATCAGCTGTGGAATCAGTTACAGATGCACTTGACCTTATTTCTGCAATGTTATGACTCTGATGCATTTGGCCACTGACGATTCCCCATATTTTGTCATTGCTTCAGGCTAGTTATGCCATAAAATAGGAAATGACATTCTAAAATGTAATGTGTTATCCATCAGGCTAATGCCAAGTGATAAAATGGATTTTTAGGCAAAAAGATAAGGCTGGGTTTTTAGATCCATGCTAAGTAACTTAGGCACAGTCACAAACTGTATCAGTAGGAAAGTACTGTTAGTAATGTGGGCCAGTGGAAACTCGGGTCGAGGAATCCGGAGAGCTGAGTTCTAATGTGAGCTATATTATTTATACACTGTGCGACTCTGGGCCAATTCTGTGTCTGAGCTTCAGTTTTCTCATCTCTAAATATGGATAACTATATATCTTGTAAAATATTTCTACCACTCCTTTCAGTAGACTGTTACGTAGAATAAATAAAATAACTGATATGAAACTACACAGAGATAACTCTTAGCAGCGAGAAAGACATTGCAGCTGATAAAACTGATACTCAGAGAAGTCAAGGTTACCTAACTAATTAGTGACAGAGCAAAGACTCAAACTCAGATTTCCTCGTTCATCATATTTTGGTTTGTTCATTTCTCTTTTCCTAATTCAATAAAAGTATACTTTCTGAAGAACTGTGGATTTTACAAGATTAAGCATCTTATATATTTTGTGTATTCACAAACAAGTACAAGCTTCCATTTGGTCTTTATTTGAAAATATTTACCTAAGTCATTAAAATAAATCCTGCCACTATTCCTGTTCTTTTTCAGGAATTACAATTTTCTCTTAAGAACTGCTTAAACATGGAGCAGACCCCAATGGTAACCGGATTTATTAAAAACTGAATTGTTTCCACACTGCTTTCCCTACAATTCAACAACTGAATGCATCTTGTAATTAGGGCTCTCTTGAATTTATTCTGCATTTTTCCCAGCATAAGTGAGATGACTGTGATTTGAAAACATGTCATGTAGTGTGTGTTATTATTTTCAAGAAGTTCAATAAGCATGATGGTGCCCATACACAATTCCTGATTCTTTTATTTTTGTTTCCCCTGTCTTCCTTTTAGTAGAAGTAGGGTATAAGTTTGCTCTACTAAACAAAGATAAAGAAAACATGAATTACTGTGGCCACTTCCAAGTTTTTCTTTAAAGTCTGTCCGATCACTCTGCAAGGTAATATGAAGAGAGTGGTGAGCACCATTGAGAGAAGAATAACAAAAACACCCAAATTAAAATCCTCAACCAAAGACATTTAAGTTACTGACACAGGTGGAACCCAAATCAAGCACATTAAGTTTTCTAAATTGTGCATGAAGTTAACTTAACACCGCAATATACTTGAAAAATCTGGCCCTGTGTTAAAGCTGCCTTTATAGGAGAAGCCTCAGTTAGTGGTTCTGTGGTTCCAGCCACCAGCATTTTCTCTTCTGTGCGTAAGCCGCAGGATGATTGACTGCCCCCATAAATACCTGCTGGTTAGGGCTTAGTCTAAGATAAAATGCTGTTCATGGTTGTAATCTAGATTAAAGCTCTCTGTATAGTCCATAAACTTCAATTAAATGCTTCTAACCTTTTGCATAATACTTAACATTGAAAGATTTTTGGTTTTTAGGTTAGCTCTAGATTTAGGGAATATTTGTGGGCACAGAGCTATAAAAAGGCAGGTTTTAGTCTGATTTAAGTGCTTTTGCTTTTATACTGTAAAAGTAGCATAGGAATGAAATGCACATAGTTTACAGCTATCATAATAAAGGTACAAGGATGTAGTTTTTTGTCCCTTGACACACTTTCCTGTTAAGATGTGGAAAGTAACAGGTTAAGGAAAATAATGACAAAGCGAGTGAAGTACAGGGAAGTGTAGTATTGAATGACCTAATTCTCGTTGGAAACAAAGACCATGCCAAACAGATTCTCAACTTACATTCACTTTTTTTATTTCTATAATTTACCTTGCTTTGCTAATAGAAGAAAAGATTCCTCTCTCTGTGACTTGGATTTTCTTATTTACTATAGACATTACTTAAGGGACCTGAGACAAGACATTTTACATTTTAGAATTGGAAACACAAAGATGATATGTAAACCTTATCTGCTAATTATCCACATGTATTGATTATAGTATCTAAACAAGATTTGAACAGGAGCAGTTATGTATTTGACACTATCCTGCCTGAACTAGCATTGGTGAAATTTTGATGAACTTAACCTTTTTCCATTCTGAAAAAAACTGATTAACTATTGAACACCTAGTATCTTTGGATGCCCCCCCCCCAAAAGGATGATACTGTTTTCTGCAGTCAAAATTAAATTAATTATTAGAATTTTACAAGATATATCTGTGTACACAACACCATTTTGAGGCAAGGGGGGCTACAGATATGGGTTTGTTCAAATAAGAAAAGGTCTTGTTCCCCCCAAAACAGAAATAAATGTATTGGTTCCCTTTAGTGCTTACTGGGAAAGCTTTTAAGCAGAGTCTCACTTTTAATTCTGGACACTAAGGAGGTGGTAGGACTTGGTTGGAATTATGAAATAAAATGGTGGTCATCACAGGTCTTGGAAGCAGAAAAAATAGAAAGATACTTGAATAACTAGAGATGAACACGTTTGAAATGTGAAGTCCTAAAAAAGCATTAGGTCTGAAGCTGGTATTATTCAATGTTCTATAAAACATCTGCAAGAGGGTAAACAGTGAACTTTCAAGTGTGAAGAGGTCACAGAGCTCTTCTGGGCACCCATAAGGATGAATGTGGTATGTGACAGGTGGTGGTCCAGGTTCACTGTTAGCACAGGGAAAGATTCAAGTGGCAGCGTAAGCTACTTTCTAAGGATTTTTCAATCCAATCTGTTACTATAGACAAAAGGACCAGCAAGAGGTCGAGTGTGGAGCATGGACTCCCAGTTGTTTTAATATACCATGTGCACGGGATTTATCATTGGTGAGAGGTAAATGGAAAATACCCTCCTTATGGATCCTTAAGGGAAGGTAGGCATTTTTAAGGAGTAACTCTCATCTTTTAAGGAGCAATCATTGTCTCTGGAATACACTCCTTACTGCAATTGTGAGAGACAGATTACAAAGCAGTCCCCAAATTAGATATACCAGACGTTTCCAATGTGCTTAATTTATGTTATATTAATCACCACATTTCCAACTCCTGACCTTAGATTATCTCCAGTAAATAACCAGATTTATTTGCAAACAAACAATCCCCTACCCCTCCCCTTTAAAAAGTAACCAGTTAGTTTATGGGCCTCATCTGACAATCATCCATCCATTCATAACCATCAACAACCATAAAGAAAATGGGCAACTTCAATTTGCTTCTCATATAAAACCATCAACTACATTGTCAAGTCTCTCATCTAGGGTAGAGGCAAGAAGGTAATGAGGGATGTTCCTGTGCCATATGGTGCCAAGGATACTGTGTGCCTGTGTAAGATGCACAGTCAACCCTCGGTATCCAGGAGGCATTGCTTCCAGGACCTCCCATGGCTGCCAAAGTCCATGATGCGATAGTCCTTGATATAAGATGGTGTAATATTCCACATAATCTATGCACATCTTCCTGTATACATTAAATCATCTCTAGATTACTTATAATACGTAATACGATATAAATGCTATGTAAATAGTTGTTATACTATCTTGTTTAGGGGATAATACCAAGAAAAAAAGTATGTGCATGTTCAGTACAGACAGTTTTTTCTCAAATATTTTCCATCCACCGTTGGTTGAATCCATGGATGCAGAATCCACAGATGTGGAGGACTGGCTGTATTTGTGTGAGAAAGAAAAAGCAAGAACCAGCTATACCCGAATCTTAAGTAGCGATTTTAGTAGATGGCTAATAACCTAGCTAAAACTATATCCTCACGCACATACTTTGCCCATGAAAATAAAGGTCTGAATAAAATCTGCATGTCCTTACCTTCTATTGCTGAGAGGAGAACCCGGGAATGATCATATGCGATGACGTTTGCATATCTATTCTTTGGTTTGTTTACTTCCAAGTTTGAATGTTCCCATGTGAACTGCTGGCCAGGGTCAATCGACTTTAAAAGAAAAACAACACATACGCATAATCAATACTGAACAACACCGAATTATAGGCGTTTATCGCAAGTAAGAAACATGATTTAAAAAGAAAACTCTGAAGCCATACTTCATCATGATGATCCTAACTGTGAAGCTGAACACTAATATAACCAGCACACCATGAAATGATTAATCATAGTAAGAAACAGTGATAGTCACCAACATTGATTCAAACAAAAAAAAATCAATATAGATGTTCTGTTTATATTGAAAAGGCAAGTTTTTTTTTTTTTTTTTACTTTTCCATTTCCCTCTCTGCTGCTGTAGTTTACAAGTTATCTTGGTTCAATATTTCTTCCAGCTCTTTGAACAATATTTTATCTTGATTATTCCTCCCTGTTCTTTCCTATCTGGACCTCAGCTTGGTCTCTGAGTTGACTGGTCTCAGGCTTTACTATTTGCTCTTCATTTCCATGCTCACATCTTAATGGCAATTTAAGGTTTGGGCTGTTTCTCCAAACGCTGATATTACATGGCAGTTTGTATAATTCAGACAGTTAAGAATAACAGTGAAGAAGGGAGGTCAGTTAATTTTAATAATCACCTTAGTCAGAATGTTAATTTATAGTGCAATGAAGAGTCCAATGATTTTTCTATTTATCATATCTTTTCATTTATTGTTATGTGTTATCAGTATGTTTATAGTTTGCTCCTTTTTATTATTTTAATCTTGTTTTTTTCTGATTTTTAGTGCCTTTTTATTGATGCTTTAGTTCAACAAAAATTATTCAATATAAAATAAAAATTGCACATATATAAAATATATAATTTTTTGATAAGTAGAACATTATTATTTTGAGATTGAATTCAGGTTTGATTAAAATACTCTAGGGGACTCTTTAATTTCCTGCATGTTACAGGAATCAAAACATCTTTTTTTTCATCATAGGATACTGACATATTTTTAAGACTTTTAATTTCATGGTATATGGAAACATGAATTCAGTAATTACATAAACATGATGTTAAATGATCAAATTCAAGTTTTCAAAAGTAATGATAAAATAGGTTTATAACCAGGTGAAATTTTTCAAAAATGTGAAGATACTAGTTTACGTTAATAGAATTTTTGGCAGTGACTTTTGATGCTGGGTATTTTAATTCCTTTCTGTGTAGAAGTTGAAAGTCAAACATATACAACAGCTATTATAATATGAAGATACGTACACTTTCTGTTAAAAGACAGAGTTCAGCGGGATAGCAAAACTCACAATTGTAAAGCATTAGCCTATTAATAGTCTAGAACAACCTCCAAACAAATTATCAG